GACAAAGTATAGTCTCCAAGGCAAAGTAGACCTGAAAATTCTGTCCAGATGAAGGCTGTGTCTCCCTTTGAATGGCTCCTTTTGAATAGCTTGTAGGTGGCCAAGCTGTTAAGGGACAAGGCCCCCTAAAAAAGAAAGCAAGACAAAAAATGTAGCCAAATTAATTAAATATTGATATTATTTGGAGAGGGGGCTTGGTTACTCAGGTCGAAGGAATGCATTGGAATGGCAATGGGCATTAAAACATTGGCATGATTGAACTGAGGGCTTTTTTTTGCTACTTCCATATAGAATTTAGCACTACAGATCTAGGCTGCAAAAATTGGGAAAACCACTAGAGATTTTGCTAGCCCAGACATGGTAATCCTAAGAGATTTTAGGGCAGAATTATCAGGTCTAGCTTTCAGCCAAATGGTAGAGTCTTAAGGGAGATCAAATTGTTCTCATAGAATGAACCGTAGTTCATTGTAAATGCCTTGTAGCCAATGGAATTTATAATAATTCAGAAAATGCAGCGCCAGCTGCAGAATGGCTATAGAGAATTCCATTGTCAATACAGCATGATTAAAAGTTTGCAACATTTGCAACACAAAAAAGAAGAATCATGATCGAGATTCAGCGGATGAAAAAACTGAACAGAAATAAATGGACAATGAGCACTCTTTTCTTTAAAAGTACTTTCAAAGAATAAGAAAAGAAGAGATAGGACCACTATGTGGGTGTTCCATTCTTGGTCCACTCATCATACTATTCTTGATACACTCATAAGTGAATGGTTGAAGAAGACCATTGTTAGTGTGTAAATTGAGAAGAGTATGTATTTGGAAATGGGTTTAAGATATTTTTTTTATGGGAGAAAGACTGCCCTATCTTTAGACCACAACCTATTCAGTCATCTATTGCCCAGCTCAGCCCAGCCCAGCATTATTGTTCATCTTGAGTCTAGTATTATGGAATTTGATCATAATCCAGAGGGCCATACCATCATGGTATTTTTATTTACAAAAATTTACATAAAGACTCAAAGAAAGGAAGGCATATTCTATCATAATCTCTTCATTTTCTGTGCAACTGCAATTTAACTGGCATTTTATAATGATATCTTTGTACGTAATTGTATCAATTCCTATAAGTCTTGATTTTTTGGGACTGATTGTTTTACATAACCAGAGACATTAGAGAAATAAAAGGCAAGCATAGCTGCCTACATGAAGACTGAGAAGTTTAAAAGGGCTGAGTCTTTCAGTATGTAGTGGAGGAAGAGGTAAAGAAAAAAAAGGCTCAAATCAATCATTCAGAAAAGAAATAACTTAAAGACTTAGGTTAGACACAATGACCTGTTTAATGTCATAATTGGCTGCTGCCAAATTCGTCAAACTGAATGAAGTTCTTAACTAAAATGTCATAAACTTCTCAACATGAAGATTTATATAATGCAGGTATCTGGCCGGTTATACGTTTGTTATGTTGCATTTGACTTTTTCTAAAGAAAGAAAAAGAGGGGGGGAAAAAAGAAGGATCTGTACATGTCTATGTTCTGGAGTTTTTCAAAACTCTAGGAACTAGTCCTGATATATATACGTTATATACTCAGTATATATGTGACACACACAAGATAAACAGTCATTTTTCTGATATAATAAAAATCAGATTTAAAATATTTTCAATGGGAAAGCTACATGTTTATGATGAATGGATGTGGCTAATGTTAAATTTGAACAGTGTGTTTTTAACAAGAGTGTCAATGGAACATTTCATAATTAAAGTAAACTCCTTGAGGTCCTGTTGCCATTCAGGGATTCTAATGTTTACTCTTTAATAATTAGTTACAGTAACGGTATAAAACATTTTATGGGATGCTGATTCTATAGAACCTGCATTTAACTTTTGGGAAGGATGTAGGATGCTGCTGCTTGGATGCATTGAGATATGTGACAATTTTAGTCCATTCCTTTGTGACCAACGTCTAGTCAGTGCTACAGAGCTGCTGGCCCTATCCACTTGTTTCCTGATTTTTGTGTGGATGTTAATAAAAAAAAAGTCTTGGAGACTTTGGATGCCAACTCTTGGATGTCTCTATTCTGGCTTTAACATTTCTAACTCTTCTGGTCAAATTGCCCCTTCCCCTTTTTTGACATATAGAACCAGTGCTCCACTATGTGGTATCGTTCCATGTGCCAGTTCTCCTTGGCTAGAAAAAAAAGACAATTTTCCTTACTAGAGAGAAAAAGGAAGAAGAGCCATTATACCAGTGCTCAGAATATTCTGTTGTTGGTTAGATGGATAGAGCAGATTTTGAAATATCTTTCTGGACAGGGGTAGCCATCTCAGATCTAATCTTACATTAGTAACAAAACCAACTCACATCTCTGACAGTCTCCCTGAATGGGCACATATGCAGATGCAGGCTCGCTCAAGCAAAGATATTGCCTTTGAGGTTCTACATGCAAGAATTTAGCAAATAATCAATTCCTGGATGAGGAAAGAGATGAAAGGACCATAAACGGATGAACTCCACCACTCCGGTCTGCAATCATTTATGGAGCAGGCCAGCCAAACAAAATAGCCTGATTTCAAGCATGTGGTGTCATAGTCTCGTCCTAGTACTACAGTCACAACTATCCTAAAGTAATTGAAAACATTGGACTGAAACACACCTAAATCTAATTTTTGTTGTTAAGTTATTGAAGCATCTGCTTATTCAGTAAATCAAGAAAATATTGAAAAATGGGATATGAAGGCTGAAGCAGTGCAGAAAAAAAAAAATCATAACTTTCTTCTTGTATCTATAGATTCCCTCATTGTTTTGGCACGAGCTTAACTTGTGTTATTAAACTTATCGCTCTCCTCTCTCTCTCCCCCCCCCCACTGTCCCCTATCATCATCTATCTGGAACCAAAATAAACCACACATTGTTCTTGCATAAGTTTGCATGCAGACATCTAAGACTGATTGCATTGGCATTGGTTTAGACTGTTGTTATTAGGCAAAAATTACCTTAAATCGATAGCGAGGTGCAGTGGTGGGTTGCCCCCAGTTCGGACCAGTTGTAAAACCAGTGGGAGGCCCCACCCACCTCCCCAGATGTCGTCATCAGTGATCTGCGCATGCGCAGAAGCAATGCACGTGCTCTCTCTTTGCTCTTGCACACGTGCAATCCCATTGCGAACCGGTAGTAAAGGTAAGTACTCCTGGAGAGGTGGTTTATTCTTAGTCATGGTATTACCTAGTAAATATCATAGTTTGTTCAGGTCTCATTTAGGGCTTTATTCCCTATTATTTTTATTGAAGGTAAGTTCATCCAGAAGCTTAACGTAATATCTGATAAAATTAGGGTCTCTAAACAATAAGGCTATTTGTTTCTGGGGACCCTAACCAAGAGAAAAAAATAAAATAATACACAGAATAAAATAATACACACAAAGTTTTTCCATCATCATCATCATAAACAAACAACAACAACAAAAAAAAAAACCACTGGAAACATCAGGTTGAGAAAGTTTTAGAGAATGAAAAACTCAAGATCTTGTGGGACTTCAGGATTCAGACTGACAGGCACTTGGTCCACAACACACCTGACATAACAAAAATTGAAAAGAAAAAAGTATGGTTCATTGACATTGCAATACCTGGTGATGCACGGATTGAAGAAACCACCTTACTCGGAACAGCTTACATCCTCTGACAATACCTTAACAGTTCCTAGGTCCTTGGTTAGGACTCGAGCTGCTGAGCTATTAACCAGCCTCAAAGGCTGTGAATCTCACTAGAGATTAACCAATAATAATAATAATATATACCTCCAACTCTCAAAATTCTATAGCTTTGCATAGTTTAAACCTGCATAATTCTTAAATTGGCCTGTTATTAATACTTTTGCTGCTGTCTGAGGCACATATGTTTGATTCTTCAATGGCATTCAGTGAGTTATCTGCAAGGTCTCTTACTGCTGCTACAGCAATATGAACCAGACTACACCCACATGAACAAAGAAAATTTAACTTTCATAAGTTGATTTTTAAAATGCATTCACTTTGACTCAACCAAGTACATCTAAAAAAAGATGAAAAGCATCTTTAGCGTGCCAGAAACATCTGGTTTCATATTTTGAGCCCAAAAGGAAATTGCATGAAGTCTAAAGTCTTATGTTTTGATTTACATTATTATTGGAGAGCTGAGAATCTGCCAGTCATAAAATAAAAATTTTATGATAATAAATAAATAAGGAAAACAATCTGACAAAACATGTTATGGAACAAAGATGCATTTCAAGTTTAATTAACTGATAACAATGTTTAGGAGAGCAGAATTGTGCCACCAATTATGCAGCTAGTAAATGCATGCCAGCCATGCAGAGCTGGCCTATAAAAGTGTGATAGAAAAGAAAGAAAGAAAGAAAGAAAAATCTCCTGCAGCAAAATTTGTCCAAGCACAAAGGGAAGGTATTCAGCATGTAGTAAATCAGACGGCAATTAAGATCCCCTCTGAAGACGTTTATGAGAAGGTATTTTATAGATTGTATTGCAGTTGCTGGGTTTCAAGGGTGCATTGTAAATTGCACAATTGTCATCAGTCTGGCTTTCCAATATGCCTACTGATAGTGTCCACAGCAACTGCGGGGTTAGAAATTTTCATTGTGCAGATATAAAAATGGGAAGGGAAGAAAGAGAAGGCAGAGAAGACTATATGTCCATGGAGTTGTATAAATTGGTCCTGTCTATTCCTGGCCTTGTGTCTTTCCAAAGTGGTGCAGTGGGACCCTAGCTTCAGAAATATCAGCTGCTGGAAGACGCATGTGATCCTCCATTTTATGGGAAGGAAGATGTGCTTCAGTCTTCTACAATTCAGGGATGGAAATTTTCCCTGTTGCCTTGTTTTCCTCAGCCTTAAAATGAATGTGTTATTCCAGTCCTCAAGAACACCTAGTGAGACCTCAGCACAAGTATATACTACAAATAATAAGGTAAATTAAGGTATTCATGGTTTTATAGTTTGTTACCTTTAGCTCAGCTCAACTCAGCAGCCCAAATCCATTCCTTTTCAATATTGTAATGGCAGCATTTGTTTTCCAATTTGGACAAGAGCCTTAAAAAAAAAAAAGAGGAAAAAATAGTCAGACTCATTTAACAAATAGAAAATTGTTATATTTTCAACTGAGGTGCACAACACTTCTTCATTACTTTCAATAATCCAACTATGGAATTTGCATATGGACATTAAGTATGCTGTGATGTGTCCCACTGACATCTTTTTTTATTAAGAGTAAATGCTTTGCATTCTCTTTTCAAGTTTAAACTCATATTATATTTTTTTTACAGATATTTAGCTGTAAATAGGCACAAATAGAAGCATCACAGTTATAATGTGGTGGAAAGGACCTTGAGGTCTTCAAGTCCAATCCCCTACTTAGGCAGGAAACCTTATACCATTTCAGACAAACAGTTGTCCAATCGCTTATTAAAAACTTCTGATGTTAGAGCATTCACAACTTCTGCAGGCAAGTTGTTCCACTGATTAATTGTTCCAACTGTCGGGAAATTTCTCCTTAGTTCTAGGTTGCTTCTCTCCTTGATTAGTTTCCATCCATTGCTTCTTGCCCTGCCTTCAGGTGCTTTGGAGAATAGGTTGGCTCCAGAGGTGGTATTCAGCCAGTTTGCTCCGGTTCGCGCAAACCATTGGCAGAAATTTGGCCAAGGTCGCTGAACCGGTAGCAATGGCCAGCTGGCCACGCCCCTGAACTGGTTCCCCAGTCGCCGCTCACTTGCCCCGCCTGCCATGTTTGTCACCACCATGTTCTTTGCACACATGCATCCCATTGCCTTGCAAGTTCAATGGGATGTGCAAAGAACATGGCAGCAATGGCAGCAGCTTTTTCCGTGACCTCCCTCTGGTACTTTTTGGCAGCCTGCAGCCACAAAGTGGCTCTCAAAGAGGACGTGGTGGGGAGGGTTCTTTGCCAGCCGGTTTCCAGCAGTGGCGGCTGGCTGGGGGTAACCGAAAACTCCAGTCAGCTTGCCTTCTGAACTCTGGACCAGCTGCCGTGGAAGGTAAGCAGCCTGAACAAAGAGGTGGTGATGTGGAGGAAGTGGGACTAGGGCCGGGGTCGCTAAAGGAGGGGAAACAGGGGCAATTGGTGAACAGAGGGCAGGGGTAGATAGGTGGAAATTCAAAAAAAATTCCTTCCTTTTCTTGTGGGCATGGCTAGGTGGGGGAGGGTCATGTGACTGGGCATGGGCGTGAGTGATGTCAAGTTGGCCACGCCGACTCAGTCACATGGCCTCCCCACCTAGCCATGCCCACTGAACCGGTAGCGAAAATTTTTGAAACCCACCACTGGTTGACTCCCTCTTCTTTGTGGCAATCCCTGAGATACTGGAACATTGCTATCATGTCACCTGTAGACCTCCTTTTCATTAAACTAGACATTTCAGCAACTGTTCTTTATATATTTGAGCCTGCAGACCCCTAATCGTATTTGTTGCTCTTCTCTTCACTCTTTCTAGAATCTCAAGATCTTTTTTACATTGTGGTGACCAAAGCTGGATCCAAGTGGCAAGTTGCCAAGATGTATAATTTGAAGGGAGACAACAGGTTTGACTTTTTGATCAACCTTCACAGGGTGTTACCTGAATTAATCAAATCATAGTAACAGGAATTTATTTATGTATTTATTTTATTTATTCTGCTAATCATAGGTCAAAGTATAATACAGGGAGGCCATCTTTCAAGATCTCAAAACATTTATTTTTTTGCTTAAGAATAGTCATAAACACAACTGTTAACCTTAGGCAAACCAAACAGAAACAATAGTAAAGTTGCCAGAACAATGCCATACACAACAAAACCATGTAAAGTTCACAACAGGTCTCAAGCTCAATTAAAACATAGTTAACTTGCTCCTTTTGGGAGAGAGTTATACTGATGGTGCTGATTCAAAAAGTCCCTCTTCTAACCTGCTCCCACAGTCCTGCAAAAAATAGATGGCTGTTGTGGTCCGCCAGCAGCTGGCAGTGGAGTCGGACAGTGATGAGGCTGAGGAGGAACATGGGTCAGTCCTGGAGGCTGGGGAAGGCCCAGATGAGGGCTCTGGATCAGAGGCAGAGATGAGGCCAGAGCCATCAGGGAGTGATGTGCGGAGCCTTCAGAGGCTGACAGTAGAGAGGCAGAGAAACAGGAGGAGCCTGTTCCTAGTGCACGTATGAGAAGAGCTGCCAGAAGGCAGGAGCAGCTAAAGCAGAGAGGATGACTCGGGAGTAGGGCCAAGAGATGATTGGCTCCTCCCATAAGGCTTAAAAAACCAGCAACGGCTCTTGGCCTCTTTGCCGGAAAAGAACGTTGAGAAAATTGCTTCTTGTTTCACTGTATTTATTTCTTGTTGGCGTCTTCTGCTTCTGACCTTTTGCCAAGAAAAGCCTTTGGCAGTTTGCCTAATTATCCCAAGGTCAGTGATAAACTGAGGAATGGTGTTTTGAAGAATTTGCTTTAATTTATTTTGGACTATGCTGAGAATGAGTTAATTCTCAGCTGTTCTAACAAAGTCTTTTTGTTTTTGAACTGTTTGCATTTAATACTAACTACTTGAGCCTGAGTCACAACAATGGCAAACATTTTCCAAAATTTGTGATAGGACTAATGTTTATGAACTAAGGCAGGCTTTTGTCTGAATGGAAGCCATGTTCCCTAGTGGAAATATTAAAATATCCCAAAGCCATTAATTTATAGAAAATACCTTTTCTTTAACTGTTAAGGTAGAGAAGTTGTTGGGAATACTTTGTCGTCCTATTTTCTTACTACAGTCACACACTCAAATCTTGGAGATCAAAATTATATCTTCATAGAAAAAAGATGAGGACGTCTTCCCTCACTCTATCAGATTGTGGCTGCTGCTATCCTGAAAATTGGGTGGATAGTGCTGTATCAAACTGACCCTCTTTCCAGCCCATCAGGATACTTTGATCTGCCCAAAAGATCACCCAAAGATGGTTTTAATCAAAAAAGTACAGAATGTTTTATAAGGATGTTTTGACTCATTTGCCCCAAACCTTCCTGGAACGATGGAACTAATTTTTTTTTCATCATCTGATTAAGATTCATGATAATGAGTCAAAACATGCCACTAGTAATTCCCAGCAGCACAGAAGACAGGATGTTAACTTCTACAAACACAAGCATGCATACAAAGAGAGACACTACATGGAACTAATCCTTCAAGCATATGGATGGGTTCATTTTCTTAATGAAAAATTTGACATGTTTGGAATATCTAGAAAGAGAAGGAAGGGGGGGGGGGGAAACTACATCCTACTTAACCACTGAAACCATTTTCTATTTTTCTATCACAAAAGCAAACAAACAAAATAGACATTTATACACAAACACACGCATATATATCTATTTCCTGTATTATGCATTCGTTGACACCGGGGATGCAATAAGAGGCAATTAGCATAAGAAATAACCTTACGGTCTGATCCTAAGAAATAATGCTACACATCAGTTTACATAAGTTAGCGCAAATACTAACACTAAGAGGCAACATTTACTGTGTTATTAATGGCTACCGTCATGACAATTGTCTTCAGCAGATCCTTCCCAGTCTCAGCATGGCAAATCTCCTTCTCTCCATGACCTTTCGAACGGCTTTATCAGTCAAGAGTTATATGCAGATAAACCTCCTCCTTGCTTATCTAGGGAGGATGAGGTAGCTTAACTGGGCAGCAATATTGCATTCAAATCCCCCTGATTTCAAAAGTTGGGATGATCACCATTTGAAACCTTTAAGGACAGTTTCTCAAATAATAACCCAGATTTTCTAAACATTCAAAAATATATAAAGCTATTATATTTAAAGCTTGACATTAGATGGCACATTCGTGTTCAAAAAGGGCACTAGGTATCTTCAGGACTGCCTTTCTCCAATGCTCTCTGCTCATTCAGAAAGATCTGGCCAGGTTGTCATGCTCCTAGTTTCATTGATAAAAGAGTGACACCTTTTTGGACCTCAGAGGTATCCTTACTCAGCGGCCAAAGCTGTCCTCTGAAATAGCATTCTCTCTGAGATCTGCAAAACATCCTCCTTGCCGCTTCTTGGAAAACTTGTTTCTTTCAGCAGATCCTGAGACAAGATGATTTATAATGCAATATTCAATTCTGTGTATTTTTTCATTTATAATGTTTTCTCAATATGGTACTTAATATTGTTATGTTATTACTGGCTTACTGACTTCTATTTTTAAAAATTGTCTTATTAATTTATTTATTGCCAAGAGTTGCTAGTGTTAGAAAATTACAACAAATTATTTCTAGTTAAGTTTCCAGTAAATATAGTCTGAGACAACTCCTCTATCCACATCAGAGCAGACACACTCAGCACTCAGTTTGGTTAGCAAAAACAAACAAAGATAGCTTAACGTTAATTTATTAAACATCAGCAAACATCAAAATCATTGTGAAAGTCAAAAAAAAAAAAAGAATTAGATACAAGAAAGGCAAAAGCAGGATGAGAGAAAGATATGTACACCGGGCAAGAATTAATATTTCTGTGTCTCTAGATAGCCACAGTACATCAAAAGGTTACAGAACTTTCTGGAACCACTGAAAAAAATGCTGTCTCCAAGGGAGTGGCTTTGGGTTATTCTAGCTTTAATGAGTACATAATGGGAGCAATTTCTTTCTGTATCATGAAATAAACAATTTAAGGGATAGGGTTGATGTATGCAACAGCTTCAGTGACTGAAGTTGCTTATAAATCAGATGAAAGAGAGAGAGAGAGAGCAGAATAAAAATGACACCTGGTACCAACCTGCCTTACTAAATTTCTCTGCCCTGAATCAGCTGTGAAATGCAAAACATGTGGAGACAAGCATCACCTTGCACGTAGATGCCCAGATTACTCCAAATCTCAGAAATGGGAGAAATGGTGCCAGTCTCTTTTTCCAGGATGGATCTTAGATAAGTCAGGCAAAGTCTCTTTGAAATGCTTGCTCCCCATGGTTCTCACATCTGGCTTGTGTTGCCCGTTTTCCCCTTAACAGCATTCCTACCCTTCTTTTTCCTACAATCTCTTATAATTAATTTCTTGTTTT